GAGCACAAAAATACCCAAAGGCAGAAAGAGGGGAAGTCAGTGAGCTGCTGACGGTATCGTGAGGGAGAAGGGGGTGAAGGGCTGCTGGCCACGGGCAGTCCTGTGCACTGAGGCTTTTCATCCTGAACACCCTTCCCAGAACAGGTCTGGCGGACGGGATGGATGCTCCCCATGTCATCCAGCACTGGGCTCTGCGGGTGCTCCACAGATGAGGCAGGACCTGCTGCAGAGGGGAGGTGAGAAGGAGGTGAGAAGGAGGTGAGAAGGAGCCTCCTTCCCCTGGTTCCCGCACCACGGACCGTTTCTCACCTGTCGGTGCAGCAGCAGAGCCCACTTCACGCCCTGAGTGTCAGTGACAGCCCTGGGTGTGTGCAACCTGCCGAGGCACCGCAGGGCTCTGAGCACACGGGAGGAGGAAGAGGAGGAGGAGAAGGAGGAGGAGGAGGAGGAGGGTCTGCTGAATGTCAGCCACACCAGCGTGCCTGGTGTCATCGAGCTCCTCGCAGGGGGCAGGAAGTATAAAAGCAGAGTTCCCCGAGGAGGGTCCCTGGCAGCAGCTGGAGCGTGTGATGCTCTCACTGACGCTCTGACCAGATCCCCGCTGGAACCACACCATGGATGCAGGTGAGTACCACGGGCTGCAGCCCCTGGCTGTGCCTTCGGCTTTATTAATGGTGCTCAAACTCCTGCCCCGGGGCGCGGGAGCGGGACGCTTCTATCGGAGTGTTTAAACGGTGTAAAAGACTTTCGTCTTCCTCATTTTTACTATTTAAAAATAAATAAATAAATAAATAAATAACTGCACAGTTCTCTTTTAGAAGCTCAGAAACCTCAAAAGACTTCAGAAAACAATGTGCAAAAAGCAAGTGTGAGGGCAATGTTATAGGCTCCTGTGTCCCAAAGAAAATGGGCTCTTCTTGCATAGTTCACACCTTTTCTTCTGTGTTCTTAATTAAGAAAAAAAAAAAAAAAAAAAAAAGGGAGAAAGAGGGAGAACACTCCCTCCCTGGAAACGTTATAATTCAGTGAATAAATCAAGGAACTAGGAGCAAGTAAAAAAAAGCTGAGGTTGTCTGCTAAGTCCATCCAGTCTTTTGCAAATTATTTGTATTGATGGATATCTGCAGGAACACTGGGGATGCAGAGGAGGCTCTGGGGATGCAAGCGGCTTTGGGAGTTCAGGATGCTCAGGGGGATGTAGGAGGCTCTGGGGATGCTCCAGGGATGCAGGAGGCTCTGGGGATGCTCCAGGGATGCAGGAGGCTCTGGGGATGCTCCAGGGATGCAGGAGGCTCTGGGGATGCTCCAGGGATGCAGGAGGCTCTGGGGATGCTCCAGGGATGCAGGAGGCTCTGGGGATGCTCCAGGGATGCAGGAGGCTCTGGGGATGCTCCAGGGATGCAGGAGGGGGCGGGTCCCACCGGACCCTCCAGGCAGGAACAGGGAAGGGGCTGAGTGAGTCTTCTCATGGAAGTTTGGGGGCAACTGAACTCAAGCTTAGTTCCTGGGAAAGGCAAATCATGACAGGGAAAAGAAAGAGTTAGCAAGAATCTGACAAGAAGAGTAGGATAGTGTTCCTGCTTTGGGGTTTTTGTCCTACAGTTGTATTCCAGAGGAGTATTCCATTCCTCTGGAAGGTGCCCAGCTGTGGTGCTGTCTTTGAAACGCTTCTGGCTCACTTCAGCGTGAGGCTTTTTAACTTGCTTATCCCCGCTTATCTTGTCCTTTGATTCACAGTTTCCTGAAAGGAGTGGAGGCAGATAATCATTAACTTACTTCTGTGACAGATCAGTGAACACAAGAAATAAGAGCATGACTGGGTTTCTCCGGGTCTGCTCATTCCTGAAATGATGGTGTCTCTGCCCTGCCAGTTGAGAGGAGGGGAAGGCACAGAGCTGTTAACTGCCAGTAGCCATTAGATCACTTGAGAATGATTAACTTTTCTCAGAAATACCTGCTTCTTCCCCCAAAAGCCTCTGTGCTGCTGGTGAAGAGGCGCCAGAAACTGGTACAAGTACGAAGATGCAGAGAGTGAGTTACTCCCT